GGGGGGGGGGGGGGGGGGGTACTCATAGTCGTGCATGCCGTAGTCGTTAGACCATTGACCTCGCATCCCTACAAAGCCGGGACGGAGCACGCCGGGTTCTCACCGGACCAGGCTCTCACATCACCACGCGCGAAGCGCCGTGAGGTATTCGGCGAGTCGCATGAAGGGTGAGCTGCATTCTGCTAAGGGTGTTCGGCATCTTGTGCTTACTTCCTTGCGTACGGATGACAGCTGCGTATGACTTCGTTTATTTTCTGGTGCTTTCACCTCCAGAGACAGTTGTAAGCACTGTGTAACTGCCTCGAGGAAACTTGACCATTTTAACACAACGTGGTGCGATCATCCCCCTTGCGCGGAGTGAGGGTTCTCGACCCCGCACAACATGATCTACTCGACCACCATTATGGTTACCGCAAAAAAAAAAAACAGAGGTAAAAAAAAAAAAACACGGTAACCTGGTTGCCGAGTTCACGAAGTGAACTGGCTTGTTTTACAACGTCGTTGCCAAGCGACGAAAACCCAACCCCGATGGCAAACACCGAGGGGGGGGGGGGGCAAGTAAAAAAACAGCATGGCGAACAGTATGGCATGGCACCCACAAAAACTAGGAGGATGCATGCCCTCTCGCAGGCAGACACACGCCAAACGCGTTTGACAAAGAAACGAAGAAGACAGAAGAAGACTAGATAGAGGGTTCACCACAAAACACAAGCGAACAAGGCAAGCAAAGCAAGCGAAGCAAGCGAAGCAAGCGAAGCAAGCGAAGCAAGCGAAGCAAGCGAAGCAAGCGAAGCAAGCGAAGCAAGCGAAGCAAGCGAAGCAAGCGAAGCAAGCGAAGCAAGCGAAGCAAGCGAAGCAAGCGAAGCAAGCGAAGCAAGCGAAGCAAGCGAAGCAAGCGAAGCAAGCAAAGCAAGCATAGCAAGTAAAGCAAGCAAGCGGCAAGCAAACCGACGCAGGTTAGGAGCGAGACACACAACAATGAACACGAACGAACACGCGCACCTGCACGCAGGGGATCCCTTCCAGCGCCTCTATCCTCCTAGGTGACTCCAGCCCCTCCCTGTTGCCGTGCCCCAGCCGCCCGAACCCACCCCGCCCCCACGTGAATATCTCGCCGCAGTCCGTCAGGACGGCCGCGTGTTGCCCCCCGCAGCACACCTTCGTTGTTTCGGTCGGAATCGACAGGTTAGGTTGGTTGATGTCGTCGTTGTTGTTTGTTATCTTCACATTCAAGAACCGTTCCGGTCTCCGCTCGGCACCTTCGAGTATCCGTGGTGGTCTACAACTGACGCGGACATCTTCCGCCCTGGTAACAGACCACCTACGCAAATAAAAGGTGCTACGCCAGAAAGTAGCAAATTGTGAGACAACAACAGCACAAACGACGACTGCGACGAGGACGCCGAACGAGCCGACGAATGGCCCGCGGCTTGTACGCAAAGAGCTATCACAGTCAGCGACATTGCTGGACAAGAACAGTAGGGGGCGTACTCTTATGTTTTGCATGCCTTAGCGGTTAGACCATTGGGACACGCGTCCTCGAGAGGACGGAGAATTGTTCCCACAGGACCGATCACCGATGGCCAATCGTTCCTTCCTACTTTGCCCAAGAAGGTGGCTCAAAAATGTCTTCCCTAGCCTATTTATCCTATCGATGTCCCTTCCCGCCTTTTCAAACCACTTCCTATGCCCCAGTACGGTTACCATATTTTCCTCGCTATTCCATGCCTCAAACATCTCCCTGTACCTTCCTTCTATTTTTCCCAGCTCAGTGATGTACACTCCCCTCTCCTTGTTGTACAACGAGCACTCCGCAACTACATGAACCCGGTCTTCGCACTCGGCGTCGCAATCACATTTGAACTTGTCGTCTTCATCGTCTGCCTTCCGAAATCTTCGTCTACGTTCTCGAAGGCCTATGTCCCCGGTCCTACATTTGACCTTAATCTTTGTCCCTGCATTCATTGGTCCATGGAGGTACTCCTTGAACCCTCTTCCTTCTTTCAACATTCCGTACACTTCTAGACCCTCCTTATCCTTGGTTTCTTTCCTTAGATTCTGTTCTTCTCTCTCGGCACAAGCAACAGATATCTCGTCCTCGAACCCCTCTAGACCTTCCGTTTCCAGAACGCAATATCTCGCGATCTCCGCCCCCCCCCCTCGCACAAAGTCATGTTCTCTTTCGTCAACCATTAAGCGCAGTCGCCCCTATCTAGCTGAAACACACGCAGATGGCTTCTCCTTAGCCAGGTGGTTATCGCGGTCGCTGTCCATGAATGAAATGCACCCACACCTGCAGCCCTTCCCATTCTTAGCCGCCACGACACCGCCGTTTTGCTTCCACTAAATAGCCAGCCACGATCAATGCCACCCAGCAACAAACACACACACACACACACAGCGAGCGCGGCCGACCGATGCTAGATGCCCAACAGCAAGAAGCACACACGCACCTGCTGCACCGAAAGCCCCAGCAATCCCTGCACCACCACCGGCGAGACGTCCGACCACCCCTCCCCGCCCTCGCCGACCTCGTGGTGAGGCCCGTCGTCGACCACCCCCATCGCGAACACCACCCTCCTAGGGTCCGCCAGCGCCTGGAAGGCCTCGTACAGACCGCCGTGTGCCCACGTCACCTCCTCGTAGAGGCTGGCGGTCACGCGCCAAGTGGCGCTGGTTTCTTCCTCGCCGATGCCGCCCGCTGCCGCCGCTTCTTCTACCGTCAGCGTCTAAGAAATGGGGAGGGGGGGGGGGGGTACTCAAAGTTGTGCATGCCGTAGTCGTTAGACCATTGACCTCGCATCCCTACAAAGCCGGGACGGGGGGGGGGGAGGGTACTAATGCTTTTGCATGCCTAGACCATTGACCGCGCGTTCTCGATGTGGGAGGTGCAAGGGGAGTCTCTCTAGTGGAGGTAACCTGGGCGTTTGTTCTCCGTCACGATTGCGAAGACAGCCAGCAGGAGCAGTGAACTGCATGCAACACACAACAACAGGTGTCGGTTCTAACGTTCTAACGGTTTGCTTTACCGCCGGCGGACGTGCGTGTGTCTTTACACCTCAAACAAGCCAAGAACACTCACGCACTTCAACCCCCACGTCATCGTCGAAACGTAAACTTCTTCTTGCGCCTTATTCATATATTGTTGCCAATAAATAAACACCAAGCGTCACTTTTACACCAAGCAAAACAAAAAGAAGAAAAAAGAGCAAAAAAAAACTTAATATACGTGCTTCAGAACACGTGTATATCACCTGCCCCTCCACGCCTTTGCCCCGCGCCTTCCCGCTCCCGCCGCACGGACGAAAGTAGTCTCGAGAAGCCCCTCTCAAGCGCACGCCATTCCCCCGCCCGCGCCACGGTCACCGTCGCGTCCACCTCTTCCTCCTCCTGCGGCTGCAGCTCCTCCTCGCCCGTCTCCACGTTGATCACCACCCTCTCACCACTTCGGGCTTGCGCTCCCCCTCCGACACCACCACCGTTTGCCGGTGTACCTGCTGCCGCCGCCGCAGCCGCCGCCGACGCCGTCGCCGCCGCTGCCGCCGCCCCGCTGGCGCTGGTATTGCTGCTGCTGCTGCTGCTGCTACCTTGGGCAGAAGCGGCGGAAGCCGTCGTCGCAGACGCGGCGGCGGCGGTGGCGGCCTCGATAGCCGCCGCCGCCGCCGCAAACGTCCCGAGGTCGAAGGCAGAGGTACCGCCGCCGCCGCCGCCGCCGCCGCTGGAGCTACCGCCGCCACCGGAGCCGGAAGTTTCCGATTGTTGGACCACCGCCGCCGCCGCCGCCGTCCCCACCGTCACCGAGCCGGAACTCCGAGTACACCGTCCTGATGGTGACCGATGATGTCGCGACGATGCGGGCGTGGGAGACTCCCCGGCGCTCAAGGCTACTCCCGGGAGGCCGCCGGAGGCTGCAGCGGCGGCGGCGGCGGCAACATCGGCGGTGGCCGGCAAGACGCCGTTCTGCTGCGATCGTGCAGGCGTTGATTCTCCGGCGCGGCGCCCCCGGGGGGAGGTCGTGGTGGTGGTGGCGGTTGGCCGGTGGTTGCGGAGCGACGGTGGCGGCGGCGGTAGGGCGGTGGATGGCACGGGGGCGGCGCGGTAGTCATCGCCTTGGACGGCGATGTGCTTCCGGAGGACGTCCAGGGTTTTCGGAAGCTGGGCGCCGAACTGATTTGTTTGTCACGTTGCAACGAGTTCATTCGGACGGTTGTGCGTTACCCGAGCGCGATATGTAGGATAGTTGTGTGCGCGTGTACGTTTTCTTGAGGAAGGAGGCCGAAGCAGAGTTATACCACGACAAGGGACAGCAATGGAGAGAAAAAACAACACAAAAACCCTCCTGGCCGATAAATTTCGTTGCACACGCGCAGTCTAGCCTGAGCGACGAGGAACCCAACCCTTTCCTTTCCAAGCACCCTGGCAAGACAGGGCACACGTCCTCTTTACCCACGCTCCACTCCAAACGACCTTAGTCTCCGCTCTTTTGCCGTGTGTCTGACAGGGGCGAGAGGAGCTGTGTCCATTTCAACATCGTCCCAAAGATCCGAGCGGTTCCGACCCACACAAGTGAAAACATCCCGTCCCCGCCCAGTCACAACTTCTGAAATCCCCAAAAGGAACTCGCGATGCCGCGGGCTATCTGGGCGAAGGGGGAGGGGGGGCAAGGATGACTACAACATTGACACGCGAAACTTTGGACGATGCAACGATAATCTGTTAAAAATGGTACGTTTCATGCTGCACCAACCGGACATCCAGGAAAGAAAGAACAGGTAGCACTACCCACCTCTGCACTCGCTACTGCATATTTTCTGGGCTTGCCATCCTGAGAACTTCGGTTTCTTTGCAAAACCTTGGGGTTTCTCTAGGCCTTCTTGCTTCTCCCTGTACTCTTATTATCATGTTTAGGGTAGGGTTAGCCTACTGCTGTACGGCGACCGAGATCAGTTTCATTGCCTTGAAGAACGCAGAGGACGAAGGAGGGGGTAGTCTACGGGCGGCGCAAAAGCCGGAAACGGTTGATCAAGTTCAAGAAAACAACAAGCCAGACATCAGAAACAGTCTTTGAGTGTCCGCCAAACAACAGCAATAACAACAACAGACCAGTCTGCAGTTTCAGCAAAACAGCAGCAACAGCAGCAGCAGCAACAACAACAACAACAACAACAACAACAACAACAACAACACACCAGCGCTCCCTTGCAACCGTAACTCACGTCTGTCTGAAACGCTTCCTCGAACGCCTCCCACGTCATAGTCTCCCCGTTCTCGCCGGCGTGCCGGGACCACCAAAGCCTCGCCACGCAGTTCCTGCTCATGCCGCCGACAAAAACGCCCCCGCCGCCGCCGCCGCCCACGAGCACAGCCAGACGGATGGACGGTCCAGGTATGGTCCAAGCAGCCGCCACCCACAACCAGCAACAGCAACAAAAGACGCAACAAGGAAAGATGGGCGATGAGCAGAAGGCCAGACCAAAAAGGCAGCAGCAGCGGCAAAGCAACAAGAGGGGATACAAACACGGGCGCGACTGTTAATTGCGACAATGCCTCCAGGTCATCTTGAACGGAACCGAACTGAAAGTCGACGTAACAAACGGTAGTAGTGGGCCATCCTTTCCCAGAAGCTAAATAGCTAGCATAGCCTTCTCCGCCTCCGGCTATAACCACCAGAGCGAGGATGGATCTACAGTAGCTTGTACGTCATACATGCATAACCCCCCAAGTGGAAAGTTCAGCCGAACAGCACGGTACCACCTCGGGTAAGCGCAGCCTCAGCCTTAGAATGTGTTCCTCTCCGAACTACAAAAAAACACGCAAGACAAGAGAACAATAATCGAACCAACCTCTCATTCCCTCCTGTCTGCCGGTCTTGTCCATCGCTCTCTCTCTCCCGCTCTCTCTCTCTCTCTCTCTCTCTCTCTCTCTCTCTCTCTCTCCCTGACTGTCAGAAGGGCTATTCTACATCTACTTTTAATATCCTATCACTTTCAGACGAAGCACGCACGCACGCACGCATTCACGCACTCACGCACGCACGCACCGTATGCCGGCAGCGACCGTGGTGGTCTCCAGCCCGGCGTTCTTCTCCTCGCGGGGATTGTCCGCCTGCTGCACCAGCTCCAAGATCTGCACACAACGTCAACAAGCAAGCAAGCAAGCAACAAGCAGTAAACAAACGCACCACGCCGATGGAAAGGGAAAAAGACCAAGCAAAGCCAGTCAGTCAAGTCAGTCAAGTCACTCAGCGCGGTTCAGGAAGGCAGGTAGCGGACCCAGAGGAAAAGAACGCGCGCGTGCTGTGGCGGAACGATATGTCAGGAGGACGGGTCGCGGTGGACGAGAAGGGCGCGCGCGGGGGGGGGCGTCTCGCTCGATTGCTGGCCTCAACTCCATGGTGATGACTGATCGCTCTGTCCACTACGCGGTGCGCGTGTGCATGGGCTCGTCGGGCTGAGCAAACGACTCCGGTTCTACTCTCCCCAAGGCCCACCACAGCACTTCCAACAACACCGATAGTTTTTGGGTGCGCTTACGTACTTGCACGCGAAGTGTCCACCCTCCGATAACGTCTCAGAAAAAACTCTCTCTTCGTTCTCTATTAAGGACAGGTTGTAGTGCATGATATTTCGCCTTCACCAGCGCCAACGCCAACAAAAAAACGATGGCATCACACGAAAACAACAACAGCAGCAACAACAGCAGCAAATCCCCGAGGAGGCCCATCCACACCCCGTTACAGCATTAGCATTGGGAGAGAGACCGAGTACCTTGGCCTCGAGCATGCGCATCTCCTGCACGTACACGCCCGCTCGAAACACGCCGAAGTGGTTCGGCCGGCCCTCGTTGAGGCTCATCAAGGTCACCAGAGCCTGCGCCGCGCAGCACTCCAGCTCCCACAACACCGAGGCTACGCCAAGGGGCAGCAGGGCCTCCTCCCTCCCCGCGCCCGCTCCTCCTCCAGCCCCGCTCTCCAAAAACACGCTGCTATTGCTGCTGCTGCTGGCTCGTGGCTTTCCGACGATTATCGCACCGCCGCCGCCGCCGCCGCCGCCAACGGAGGGTGTCGTTGCCCCTCCCGTCGATGTTGCCGTCGAGCACTTGGAGCTCGGGGGTGCCGTGCAACCGGTGCTCGAGACCGCGGGGGAAGAGGAGCTGCAGCGCGCACCGCCACCACCGATGCCGGCGACCGGAAGGCCGTTGCCGCCGACGGCCTTGCCGCTGCTGCCGCTGCTGCCGCCGCCGCTGGGCCCACCTCTGTCTTCCGGCTCCAGCAGGCACGTCTGCAAACCTAGCTTTACCACCTGGGCAGCGAGCGCGGCCGCGCGCAAGGCAATGGTAGGGGCGAGGCCAACGTGCGCGGGGGGGGGGGGGGACTCTTTTTTTTTTCATGCCTTCCCGGTTAAACCATTGACCACCCGTCCTCCAAAGGACGGAACATTTTTTCCCCAGGACCCATCACCGATGGGCAATTCTTTCTTTCTACTTTTGCCAAAGGGGGTCGATTTTTTATTTCCTAATCTATTTATTCTAAAGATATTCCTTTCGGCCATTTTAAAACACTTTCTATGCCCCCATACAGCTACCGTCCTCTCCTTTCTATTCCATGCC